CCACTGACAGGTTTATATCCAGCGATTTTGTTAGCTAGGTTTGACGTACCAGAACACCATCAACAATCTGAGCATGGGTTATGTAGTCGATACGCGGGTAAAATAGCTTCTACTTGCGGAGGTTGAGAATTCCAGAGCTCTCACATATCTTTGTTGATGGTCTATTTAGTGCATTGTTATCGAACTCCTGCTCTTTTCGTCTGAGTGAAGAGATGTTCCGATTTGTGACTGTGTTCTGACTGTCGGTATCCAGAACCTTATTGATCGAGAGATGAGGGTATCGTGTGGTCTGCTCTTCCGTTCATAATGGTGGCTGTTATGATCTTGTTCTCTATTTTCAACAGCCGTTGTAATTCTGCTACATTCGCAGCTATATAAGGGTGTTAATTTGGCTCTCATTGTCGTCTTTTCGTAGCCAACCCAGTTCCGCAACAGCTTGTACGGCCGTTGGTAGCCGTGGCGATGATCGAGTAAATATACCGTTGGATAGCAGCAGTACCATGAGAGGATGGTTAAGTTTTACAGAAGACCTCGCCATGGTCACCAAGCTTTCTCCTTTCTTGTCTAGTCGTATGACCGGCGACGATGGTATTGTTTCGAAACTTCAGTATTATTTATTTTTCTTTAAAGTTTATGTATGAATGAACAGATCTGAGACAAAGGTGTCTGGATATGTCAAGAACTTGATATTTCTAATTCTAGAAATATTTAACGCAATGCTCACAATATCGTCGATATCTGTAATCATGTCAGAAAGCGGCGAACTTCGGGAGGGAAGGAGTGGGCGGGGAGGGAGACCAGCATTAGACGTAGAAAAATAGAGTAAAGGCGGATCTGCTTATGGAAGGATTATATTCTTTGATGATGGAGTAAACTGGTGCCCTTTAACAAAGGCATTGAAAAGTTGGAAATATGGCGAACGTCACAAACCAGAGACTTTTTGGTTATGGACACAGTTCAAGGTGATGATCACAAGAATGCACGATTATTATGCCATATCAGTACATTAGGTTGCGAATATTCCTAAATATAATTTGCCAAAACCTGTGTCGAATAGTAAGCATTTCGTTTATACATCTTTGTACCGCTTATAACTGTATGACTATCTTTGAGACAATAGAGTTTTGCTTATCTACTGTAAGTTCAAGCTCACAATTACTACATGTTAATATTTTTCTAATGTTGCATATTTATTTTGATTCCGTTGTCTGCATTCTCGTTGAAGCATGTCGGAGGATGGTGATCTCTTTGATAGTCTCAGCGTTGAACTAAATTTAGAAAAAGAATGAATTGGCGATGAAGAGTTAATGAGTCACTTTTTAAATCAGTGTAGTCATGCGTATTCTTATATAACATTGGCATAAATTATTTATTTTTACATTTATTCGCCCAAAATTTTAAAAGTGATCTTAATCAAACCGTCATTTATAAAATATACACGAACGGTTAATGTTAAATTTTTTTTTTAAAATTCACTGAGGTTTCTAAATATTTTGCAATGAATTTATTTTTTGCTATTGTTCTGCAGTTCTTTTTTATTTTCATAATTGAATTCTAGAAGTTTCCTGTCACAGAAGAGATAAAGCTATTCAGTCATTGCGCGGTGTATTACGCACTGGCATTGCAATTTCTTCGATCATTGGATCTCCCTGCCGATGAACAGATGGAAAAGTGGTGGGTTCAGAATGTGTATTTTTGCACCATTGAAGCAGAAGTGCTTCTGGAACGCATGAAGATGTTTTTGCAGTCGCATGGGGCATTGTGCGACGTTGACACCAATTTTGCGACGGCTGAGGTACTTTTGCTTTTCATTACTTTGTTAATTTTTATATGCTCTTATTTTTTTATTTGATTTATTTTTCTTAGAGCCTTTTGAGCGCGTTTTCGCTCGTGTTTCCGTCCCGATTTTTGTCCCGGATGAAGAAGAATTGTTTATCGACCACTTTGAGCCAACCGATAGTCGATACGTTTCCGATGCCGCGACACGAATTCGATCGGTGTCTGAGAGGTAGTTGCCACAAAG